TTCATCAACATGGACTCCAGTCCCTTCACCACAAAAAAAATGACAACTTTCTTTAGGCATTTTCAAGATGTCTCTTTCATAGGATATGACATTTCTTTCTTTCTTTCTTTTTTTTTTTAATCCTCACCTGAGGAGGATATTTTTTTTATTTATAGAGAGCGTAGAAGAGGGAAAGACCTCACCACGCAAGCAATCCCCTCCCGCCCACCTGCGAGTGCAGCCTCCTCCTGAGCGGTCATGATGTTACAGTGTCCTGGACAATTTGCATATTACCTCTTTTTATATATATATATACATACACTAGAGGCCCAATGCACAAAATTCGTGCAAGAGTAGGCCTTCCTTCCCCCGGGTGCCGGCACTGGCTTCCCTTTATCACCTGGGACCCAGGCATCCCTCACAGCCCCGGCTTTGTCTGGAAGGTCATCCAGTCTAATTAGCATGTTACGGTTTTATTATTATAGATAAATAGTTACTAGAGGCCCAGCGCACAATTGAAATCACGCAAGGAGGCACCCAGCAGGGGGCCAGGACCTGCGCCTGACCCTCGTAGCACCGGCCACCATGTTGTGTCAGCTGGGGTGGGGGTGTGCTCCAAGCTGCGAGGCCACTCGGAGCATGCCCCCGGTCGCTGCATTGTATCTGCTGGGGTGGGGGCAGGCGCTCTTATGTGTTGTGTCTCTGCTCAGGCCCGCCCCCAGCCCCAGCCTCCCCACAGCCGCTGGGGTGGGGGCGGCACACAGTCCCCTCCCGCCCATCTGTTCACGCAGCTCCTCCTGAGCGGTCATGATGCTTGGCTAATTAGCATATTCCCTGTTAAATAGGCGATTCCCTATTTATTGTCACAGAAATATAAGAAAAAAGACTTCAACTGTGTTAAGACTTACAAATAACATAACCCACAAATACCTCAACATTGGAGCTATTTATAGTTCTGATAAACTTAATAACTGCTATGTATTTTTGATCATGATGGAAGTGAGTTTAAACACATATATTCATAAATCACTTAAAGGTTAAAAGGAAAAAGGAAGACCCTATTTGTCCCAGGACCTACTTCTCTATTCTTGAAATCTACTTTTATCTATAGGATTTGTACATAACCATTCAATATTGTTTGATATATAAAAAAGTTTATATTCATAAGTACAGAGAATAAAGGAAGATAGAAAAATAAAGGTATCTGAGAATATTAATATCCACTTGTAAAAATTGTACTTGGAGGTTTTTATTTTAGATCATTATTCAACATTGTACTGATCACTGCTATCTATTATTATTTCTGTTGACTTTTCCTACTTTCTAACCAGAGAACCCCCATATTAACTCATTGACTTGTTTAAATAAATCAAGAGCCTTTCAAAATAGCTTTAGATATTAAATCCGAGGTTTGTCAATTTCACCCCTTCTAGAGAAAATGGAAAACTGATATGGTGGTTTTAAAATATTTTCACATATTATTTGACTCTTTTTAAAAGGTGAAGCCTAATTCCAGTCCCCTTGAATGCAGACCAGACTTAGTGACCTGTTTCTAAACAACCGAAAATGGTGGAAGTGAAGCTATCTAACCTCTCAGTTTTGGTAATAAAAAATATAGCTTCTACTTGTGCCCCGTGTCCGTCTCTTGTCTAATCATTTGATCTACAGAAAACTAGTCACCAAGTTGTGAGGACATTCTTAAGCACCATGTTGAAAAGTCCACATGGAAAGGAATTAAGACCTCCCACCATTAACCAGTCATGTCAGTGAGCTACCTTGCAAGTAGGTCTTCCAGCCCCAATCAAACCTTCAGGTGACTACTGCTCCAGCTGAAATCTAGACTGTAATCTCATGAGAGACTCCACACCAGAAGTTCCAACTAAGTTGCTCCTGAAATCCTGATCCACAGAAATGATAATAAATGTTCTTTGTTGGAACAATGGGGCAATTCATTACTGTAGCAAGATATAACTAAGTAAGGAATGCAAAAAGATAATTTTACCAAATATGATATGAATTTAACATCTAGTGACTGCTGTTTATGATAAAAATCAACAATCTATAATTATCTATAATAATGGCATAATATGCTAATTAGACCGGACAGCCAAATGACCTTCCGGACGAAGCTGGGGCTGCAAGGGCCAAGGCGGCAGCTGCAAGGGCCGAGCCCCTTGCATGAATTTCGTGCATTGGGCCTCTAGTGTCATGTAACAATGTAAACTAAAATTAGTAAATTTTACTTTTCTCTATAGGTGTAAATGGTATGATAAAACAAGTTCCAGAGAAAAATCTCACCTTGCAAGTGACAGTTCCGACTACTTGCCATGTATCTGCTATATCCTGTTTATCATATTGCATAGATTTTACTTTTTCAGTGATAGAAATAGAAACTTGTGGTTTTCCTTTGTATGTTCCAGCTTTCCAGGCTGGCTGCTTTTGTGGATGAGTCACAGAAGCAAAACTGATACTATCCAATGAATTCTGTAAGTTGGCATCTAGTAAAGTTCCAAATGGGCAAGCCTGTAGAAGCAAGTCAGGCAATTGGCTCAGTTTTGTATTTAGCTCAGTATCAATTTTTTGACTTGAGTAAAGAAAATCCTGTATCCCAAAAAGAAGTTCAAAGCCTTGTGAAATTGCACTAATGCTAATTAGCGCTGGACGAGGGGATAAAGTTTGTTCAACTAGTGGAACACAAGCATATACTATGCCATTCTTCAGAAAAGCAACAACTGGCCAGAGTTCTTCACCTCCTACTTTAAGTCCATACACAGACGTTTTATTGATGCGAGAACAGCTATCACGACTCTCCATGAAGTCTCTATCTTCATCCAATAATCTAAGTTCGAAGAGTAATGATTTAAGAAAGGGACCATCTTCAGGGATAGGCACATAGCTTGTTCCATTGAAGACTTTGGCTCGTTTTTCAACAGTTGGATACCGTCTGCAGTATGGAAACAAAAACATTAAAAATTATTCTTCCAAGTAAAATAAAAATGGAAGAATCCAAAAATAAAACACAAACTAAAAACTGAAGGTAAATAGTAATAACAAAATACAAAGTAACACATACATACACACCATGAAAACCATAACCAAAAAAAATGTATATTGCTTGTTAAGTTCTGACTGTAATAAGTAACTGTTGCATAGTTGGTATATTATCTCAAATGATAAAGTATCATTATCTACTACTAAACATAATTTAATAATTTTTTTTAAATAGGTAGAGAATATAGTTCTAATTTGAAATCCTAGTTTCTTGGCCATTGAGATTCCCACTTGGTAGGCAAGGAATGTATACCTGGACACATTTTAGGCGTCTATAAGAACTGTACTTTCTGATACCGTCATAGTAGAGTAGGATCAAAAGAAGTGGTTTGATTTAACCCTCTACAATTTTTAGTTCACTAGTTGAGATGATACAATTACAAGAGGAATGTTCTATTCTATTTAACCTATAGTGAATAACTGGTACCCCAAGTTTTCTTGCCAACCCCTAGAAAAATATATGAGCATTTTAGTAATAATGGTTTACCTCTCTGGCCCTTGAAGATAGTATGAGGTAATAAAAACAAATCTGAATAATCCTTTATGATTTGCATGCTTTAGGATGAATGGTAAGTTACTAATTCATCCCTTTTTGGGGGGAATCAGAATAGAAGGTGCTTTTGTTCATTTATAGAAATGTTAGATCATATTTTCTTAGTTCAAAAAATATGTGCTTTCCCTATTCCTTACCTTCCCACAATCCAAACAAAATCAACCTCTTGGTGATTAACTTCTGTGTAAATTACCTAACTTACCCAAGTCTTTTTTCTTATTAGTAAAATACAGAGGTGGCTAAAGAACATACCAGTAATTCTCATCAAGGATCAAGAACATACCTTGGCCAAAATAATTTTTTTTCACTAATTGTACTAATAAAACATTGATGTTTACTAATATTGTTTAAAAAGAAAAACAATGTATTCAAATTTATCAGTGTATTGGTGATCCTTATTCATTTACATTCTGATGCATTTTCTTGGTTGAGAAAGGGAAAGAATTAGTTAGCATTCCAGTAATGTAGTTGTAGGTGGATGCCATTTCTTTCTCCGAGTCTCTGGATAAGAATAGTTGAGAACTTTGGACTAAATTCTACTACTAAACATAATTTAATAGTTAATTAAACTATTAGAACAGTGTCTTACAATCTAGTTACTTAAAGGATAATCAAAGTTCTTAAATGCAAGAATCTAATGACTGAATGTAAACTAAGAGGTTAATCTGGGACCTTTTACAATGCTTCAATGTATGCTCAATAAATATTTTTGTTGGATGATTGAACTTGCCATTTTGGATTTATTCTAGGCCTTTTCTAAAATAGGACTCACACCTTGAGTGGCCCTACAACTATGAGGTACAATAACAACCTCAGCCAGACTTAACCTGATACTATTACTAGTTAACCATCCGGGCAGCAAACCTCTAAAACAGAATCTAAATCAAGTTGCTTTTGTGGGGAAAAAGTAGTTAGACACAGGAAAGATCATTTCTTTTTTTAAGTATTAAATTATGGCCATTATTGTTTAGCATATATGTGGGTAATATGCTAGAGCATATCTGTTTAGCCCTACCACTGGTCCCAACAAGTCAGAAAACTGAAATAATAAAACTGAACTAATTCGGTCAACAATACAGAATAAGTGACAAATGAGTTATTTGAACCGAACTTGCTGCTTCCATAAAGATGTTGAAGCGCTCAACCAAACGTATCTGAATTTTTCTTCTGAAATATTCTGAGCTCAGTGGAAAAAAATTCTAAAAACAAGCATGACTTCTTCAAGGAAGTTATTTTTGTTAGCAGGTAAAAATCTTACCTCTATGAGATACTGAGATAGGATACAAAGCCACAGTTACAAATACAGTATGGTATTGGTACAATAACAGACAAGTAACAGAACTGAGACAGACCAATGGTTATATGGGAAACATAATAAACTATCAAATAGCTCCACAAATCAATGGAGAGAATATGTATTGTTTGGAAGACAATGTTGGAAAACTGGCCCACTGTATAGAGAAAAACAAAATGGGATTCCTATATTAACACCATATCCAAAGATGGACTATGGATAGATTAAAGATGTAAATTTAACAAATAAAATGATAAAGTTAAGAGAAGATAACGTACAGAGATATCCCGCGAAGTACTATTTTGCTTGCAATAAACAGTGATTTCTGTTTAATCAAGGGCAACATTAAGTTCATTAGCAATAAGTGAAGAGAAAATATCTGTAATAGCTAAAATAATGACATAAGACTATTATTTCAAGAATACACAACTCCTGCACATTAACAGAAAAAACCAGCAAGTCTCAAAGAAAAAAAATGAACAAAGGATATCTATAGGCAAGTCACAGAAGAGGAAACCCAAAGGGTTAACAATCACTACTACACAGAGAAAATCAAATGAAAATAAAATACTATTGTGGCAAAAACTGATTAGGAAAGAAAGGAGATACAGGAACCCTCACTCACTGCTAGTGAGAGGGTAGACTGGAGAAAGTATTATGAAGAGTCAATCATTTGGCAATATTTAGTCAAAATCAGCATAGATATGCCCCATACACATTTTGAGACTATCTACTACAGCACTGTTCTAATGGCAGAGTTGGAGGCAACCTGGGATACATCACTCCTGAAGAGGATTGGTAAATATCAAAGGTGTAAACCATGGATTACTACAGAGCAAGTACAAATAATGATTTAGACCTGCACTGTCCAATACAGTAGCCATTAGCCATATGTGATTAAACATAAAGTTAAACAATATTTGAATTCCTCAGTTGCAATAACCACATTTCAAAAGCTGCATGTGGTTAGTGGCTATAATATTAGCACAGATTTAGAACATTTCCCATGTCCATCACTGCAGAAAATTCTATTGAACAGTGCTGCTCTAGATGAATACAAAACAATGCTGAGAAATCTGACAAATGAAAGGAAAGGGAATGAAGTCGAAGGAACAATGATGTAATTTGAAAAATGAATACACAAACACACAAATACAAAGATAGCAACAAAGATATGTTACCTATGAGGCAAGAAGAATGGCAGAAATAAAGATACCCAAGAGAATATATAAATAAAACGAGGAGTACTTTGGATAGAACAATGAGGCTGATAAACCACACTAGCGAATATTATTATCACCCTTACTTGAGGTACAACAACAAAAAGTCTGTATTGGGGGCAAATGGTAAACTCCAACTTGATGCCCTTAGTAACAAAAATTATTTAGGTTGCAAAGAGGGAATTTTTCATGTCCACATTGCCAACCACTTTTCATTTAAAATTACCCTCATCTTTATTTGCTTCAATCTCACTCAGCTCTGCTACTTCACTACAGAGCTTTCCTCAGAGAACAATGAATTTGTTGGCAATACATAAACTGTCAATAGCCACTGAGAATAAAAGGTGAAACAGATTATTCAATTGCCACCCACATTTTATGAAGTTATTATATAGTACCCTTCACATTTATTTTGATACACGTGGCAAATTCTAGAAATAAAACCAGATCAGCTTACACCATCTAAGGGAAAGTGAATACAATGTAATTTGGTCCTTCTTCAATTTTCTTCAACCATTAGGAGTTAAACTATCTGAAATTTTCTAGGAATGAAACATAAGATGAAAATAACAGTCTAATACTGCTCAGCAAGGATTTTCCAGAAGAATGAGTTAAAATGTCATTGACTGATTTTTAGTAGTGAAAGAAAAAAATTTAAAAACGTGTAGTGCTCAGTAAGTTTCTTTCCTTTCATCTCTGTATCAATACTAAAGCAGGTGCAGTAATTTTAGACGTAGTACTACTAAATAACACTATTAGAAAACACACAATACTTAATATGTGCCAGGCAGCAACTCATTTAATTCTCACAACACGGTGAGTTAGTTATTAAAATATTCATTTAGCCCTGACCGGTTTGGCTCAATGGATGGAGTGTGGGCCTGCGGACTGGAGGGTCCCAGGTTCGATTCCGGTCGGGGGCATGTACCTTAGTTGCGGGCACATCCCCAGTGGGGGGTGTGCAGGAGGCAGCTGATCGATGTTTCTCTCTCATCGATGTTTCTAGCTCTCTATCCCTCTCCCTTCCTCTCTGTAAAAAATCAATAAAATAAAAAATATTAAAAATAATAAAATATTCATTTAACAGGTGAAATAGAGGTTACGTAACTCGCACTAGGTTTCGGATCAGCGACACACTGCATCACAAAACTGTGCTCCATGACCCATTCCTCCGACGGATCATCCCGGAGGATTCAGCCTTGCATTTACCTGGAGAATCTGACCGTGCCACCAAGTGGAGTTCCGGGTTCGTGGCTGATGAGCCACACTGCTCGCTGAGCCATGCTAAGCCGCTAGTGCATCAGTGCACCCCGCAGGCCGCCACGGAGGAAGAGCGCAGACCGCCTTTCTCAGATGGGTTCTTAACAGAAGCCCGAGGTTCATTCATCCGAGCTGCCTTCTGCCCCACCACGAACAGGTGCGGCTCAGCAGGGAAGCTAGCGCCTTCAAAAGAAGTGACGAAAGCCTCTGAGTCCGTCCTGGCCAACACAGGCCACAAAAGACTTCTGCGAATCCGCACCTGGAATCTCGAGAACTTATGCTTCCCCAGCAACCCTAGCACTTGCTTCCTCTATATTCCACTTCCGGGATGGTGGCCCACCAGGATCAAGATTCCTCACTCGCCCAGCGACGAGCCTCTCCGCGGTTC